TCCCCCCAGGGTCTGTGGCGCTCACGGCACCTAAAGACACACAAATAAATGCGCAAGACAACACACAGGAAGCCCCCGAAGGCAGGGGGAGACACCAAAACGGAATCAGTAATGTGGAGAAAAGCTTTAAGGTTTTTCAGAATGGGGGGGAAATGAAAGGAGTTGAAACTGACTGGGCAGAAGACGATGGGTACAGAATTCAGACAGGAAATGCGATCTTCAAAAGTGCTCCCGAGAGAAGAAATGAGAAGAGCTGGGAACGAAGTAATAAGCAAAATCATAACGGAAAAGCTCTCCTGAATCAAAGATCCTAATATGTTTGTTCTACCCAAAAAATCAATGAAAACGACCCGGGCGTATCCAGGCAAAAATGTTCATTTCCATAGATATGCGTATGGGCAAAAGTAGGTTTACAGTCGTTTGTATGGAAAATAATACAATAATTACTAAATAAGAATATAAGAGTAAACTCTGTGTTTCTTTTCCAATGTGCTCATCTTTTTTTCGAAGGTCTTGTTTGTTGATTCGGTTTCTATTCCTTCTCTTATCTCCTTTGATTAGTTTAAAAACCTTGTTTGTCTCTCTCCGTTCCACCGTCTCTAGCTCCCTGGGCACCAGTTCGCCCCGTTGGCCCTGTTGCTGCCCCTCCCTCACGGGACATCTTCCCACATGGCGCTGGCAGACGACAGACGCGAATCCGCAGAGTCCCGAGTGGGACAGGTTAGGATCAGTTGCCTGATCAGTCAAGTTATCTTCTTTGTATAAAGGCAACAGCAATTATCATATAGCAGAAGACTCAGAAAATATACATTGGTGTGCTCTTATTTAAAAAGATTAAAATTACAAACCAGCTAACTGTGGGACGGATCAACAGTAGTGACTCGAGGGTCTATGAGAAAAGAGAGGCTACAGACACTGGTGTTCACTTCTCCCTTCTAAGAATCCACTCTGAGGATAAAACCTAAAATGTGGTCAAGAAGCTATGCACACGGATATATATTGCAGTTGTTAATAAGAGGGGGGAAAGGGAAATACTTAGATGTCTTAAGTTAGCAGAATATCCACATGACAGAGTGTTTACAAGGAGTTATTGATTACACTGAGAACTACTGATAATACATGTTAATTTTAAAACACGGCTTCAACAATATAAAGAAAAAAACACACAGAAGATCAAAAGTCAATATGCCCAAATGTTAACAGTGATTAGATGGTAAGATTAGGGATATTTCAGGTGTGTATTACTTTATGTTTTTTACACAACGGAAATGTCAATGATCCATATTAACTTTATAATCAGAAAAGAGTAAAATATATAGAGTATTTTTAAAAATCAAAACTTCTAAGGGTCACAACAGTCAAGAGCTTAAATATCTGGGCTAATATTGAATATGAAAGATAAAAAGTCACAATGTGACTCTGACAGTATAGTCTACAATTTATTCTCAACACAGCAGCCAGAGTATAAGTTAAAAAGAAGGGGAGGATTCAGGTGATGTCTCTCTTCCACTCCAGACCCTCAAAGGCTCCCCATTTCACTCAGAGTAAAAGCCAAAGTCCTTACAATGGTCAACAAGGACCAACATGATCCGAGCCCCTGCCACGTCTCCGACCTCCTCTCCCAACCCTGACTAAAGCCAGTCACTCTGGTCTCCTCGCTAGTCCTCAAAATGACCAAGCACACACCTGCCTCAGGGCCTCTGCACTCGCTATCCCTCTATTTGGAACGCTTTCCATCCCTACAGCCACACAGTGTGTTCAGAGCTCTGCTCAAATGTCATTTTATCAGGACACCCTTCCCCGACTCCCCCATATAAAAGAACAGCTGCCCTCACTGTTCCCAGCCCCCTTTGCCCCCTTTCCCCTGAGCACTTTATCACCACCTGCGACACGGCAGCATTTACTTCACTGTGTTTGTGGCCTCCCTCCCATGAGAAGGGCAGTTTTGCCCGGCACATAGAAGATGCTCAATAAACATGTGCTGAGTGCCTGAATGAATACACGTGTTAAATCGTTAACCCCTCAGGAGCAGAGGGGCTGAAGCACACACTGCTACACCGCAGATATGCAGAAAACAGGCAGCAACGTCAATCTGACAGCCCAGGGATGCTTAACCAGCATTCATCTCACCCCAGAAAAAAGTTCTTAAAAGCACAGCCAGAGATGATGGAAGTGAAGCATCCAAAAGAAAGAAAGATAAGAGTGTTTGGGCAGAGCGGTGTAAGAATCTCTATCAGAAAATTCAAGATCTCCCATCAGGATGTGGCTTCTGCAGGACACAGAACTCATTTTTATCACAGATTCAGAACCTGCTATATGTGGCACTTAAAATTACATTTTAAATGCTCTTTCTATTTAGCTATCTCTTTGTTGTGATTAGCTCTCTTTCTAAGAAAAAAAAAAAAAAAGGCATTCAGAAACCAATTACCCCGTCACTCTCCCACTCCAAAGCAGGCAGGAAAGGGCAGCACCTGGGTAGGGCACCCACGGGCACCCAGACTCATAGACACCCACACTTTTACAGCCCGGCCGTGCCCACTGAGTGTCCACGGTTTGCCTGACACTGCGGAGACAGAATGTAACATTCTTCATCTTGCTAAGTTTAACTGGCCTCTGGAAATTCAAGGACAGAGTGATAGCATAATGCATAGCCTCGGATTCGTTGCCTTTGGAAAGATAAGAAAATTCATCCTAAACTATTTCAGATTTTCTGGGCACTGCCGCGCTCTGGAGATTAGGGCGGCCGGTGGGCCCTCCACGTGCTATCTCAGGGCTCTCAAGGCTGTGAGGGTAGCTCGTGGTGGGGATGGGCAGGGACGGCGGCCTCCGCATCCCTCCACTAAGTGATTATGCTGGCTACATCCGTCTTTCCTTTCATCCATCATCTTTTTCCTGACAGCTCCCTCATCTCTGTCCTCTAACGGCTCAGCTGTGACTGTCATTTCACCCTGCTAAGGTGTCTCCCACAAGATACTGTTTTAAGGAATTTCCTCACCCACAGATAGCTGCATCTTAAATGGGCCCCCCTGAAGACCAGAAGGACATCAAGTTCAAAGGGGGCACTCTCGCTGGGGAGAGAGGGAGGCCCCTGATGTTTCCAGACCACCTGTGCTCTGCCAGACACGCACACTTTCTACATAACTTTGCACATCTAATGACTTTGCTGAGTTCTTACAGCATCCTCTAAGAAACAGAGATTATCATCTCCATTTAGAGGTGAAAAATCTGGGACCTCCAGGCAAGACGGAAGGTTAGTTCACGTGCTGGGTACCTTCTGTGTTCCAAAGACACGACAGTGACATATGAGAATGTTCTAAAGACAAGTAAACCTATTTGTGTTCAAAAACGAGATATTTATCTAGATGGAGGAGAAACTCCAAAGATTTACTATTTTGAGGAGCTGAAGGCACAGCCTGTAGAGCTCTGGGACCTGAAGCAGGTGGAGGCAACTTGGGAGCTTTGTCTTCTAGGGCACAGGGACTAAAAGTGTCCCACGACAGGTGGCCAGAGCCAGAATCACTGGAAACTGGAGGTGGTGAAGGGATTTCCCACCTGGGAAAAGAAGCTGAAAAAGTAGAGCTCCTCCTATCCCCAAACTAGAGCTTACCTATGAATATGAACACTGAGGGGAGCTGGAAGCAGCACCCACACAGCCAGGGCCTGGCCAGGCTGCCCGAGGCTTTGATGATTGGCTCTGGGAATAATCCCATTATTACCATGGACATGGCTCATCACTAGTCCAAGACACCTGGCTCTACACTTGGGCCCCCAGAACCCGGGTGGAGGTGACGAGCAGGGAGAGAAAGAGGGAGAAACTGATTCCCATTCAAGATGAGCACACAAACCCAAATTCCAAGACACCCGAGGAAAGCTGATGCTAAGAGAGAAAATCAACACCACCAACAGCTGGGAGATAGTCCCAAAGATTTAGTGAACTGGAAGATAGTACTAAACAATTTACCAAGAAAGTGTCCCAGAAAGATAGATAAATAAACAAGAGCAGTTGGGAGCCATGAAGGATGGATTGAGAGGCTCTACAAAGTAGACAATAGGATTTCTAGAAGTGGAGGCATGGAATGACAGGGGCAGCAATATTCAATTTTCCGTAACTGAATTTTCCATAACTGAAGACATTTTATGGATCCTCAGCACAGATCAAGTGCCAAGCAAGGTAAGTAAAAAAAACACACAAACCCGCATCTGGAAAACCAGGGGCATGTTCCTCTGCTGAGCTCATTCTGTTCCCACCACCCTGTCCCATGACCCATGTCCCATGAACTGCCTGCCAATGCCCTGCTCTGGTCTGGCCCCACTGCTGATCCCGGTATGGCGGGGAAAGCCCTGGATGTGGGGCTAGGAGATGCAGGTCTGAGCCACCATCAAACCTTCAGGTGACTGCCTCAGTGGGCCTCAGTTTCTTCCCCTAAAATGGGGTCAGAACTACAATGATCGAACCTCAGCACCAGAAGGGACCCCGGGTGGCATCATCCCAGCAGACCGTGGCTGCATTTCCTTCCGGCCCCCACATGAACTACCTCGGTGCCCACGAGTTAGTTAACCTCCCGAGTCTCCATTTCCTCATCAGTGAAAAGGGACACTGAGAGCCCCCTCAGAGGGGGCAGGGAACGGATGAAATGAATTCATACATGTGAATAACTGAGCCCAGCCCCAGGCTCATAATAACCCGCAAACCTGGGGCAGACATTACCGTTGCTATAATAACCCCCTGCCTGCCATGCCACACCACCTACACTTAGTGTGAGAGGCTTTCCACTGAAGCCACGGACCCCAGGACAGAACCAGGGCCCACCACTGCTTGCGCTGTGAAAATGGGCAGGCAAGCAGGTGACTCCTCAACCCTTTTCCCTGGTCACCCCCGAGTAGGTCCCCCTTGACCTCCAGAGAAGCCCCTCCCAGGGACCAACCATGAACTTCCCCCACCTGGAATGGGCTCCGCCCCAGCCCCAGTGCCCCCCACCCCATCACCCTGGGCCCCCTACCTCTCTCTGCTCACTGCAGATCTTACACAGCCACAGGGGCCGCTTCTGGCCAGGGCAGGCCTCGATCCCACACTTGGTGCAGACTTTCTATAAGAGAGAGGACACGGGAAGGTCAACACTGCAGCTGCTTCTTCCCCAGCTGAGGGGTTGGGAAAGCTGTAACCGGGGAACCCTCGGCCATATCCCGAGGGAATGGTGTTTGCTTCAGGTCAGAAGGTAGCTTACCCAAAGAGCACAGGGCATCTAAAACCTGTGGGTGGCTCTGGGGCACAGTGGATGGGCCCATCCATGGATCTCTATGATACAGTTTCACCCCCACAATGACATTCTGTTGGGAGCACGTGGAAAATAAGCTGGCTGATAGTCACAGCTGCATCATGTTCAATAGAGAACTGGAAGCAACCCAATCGCCCAGCACCAGCAGAAGATGCAAATACACACAACAGAATATATGGCCTGTACACAGCAGATTGCGTCCATCCCTGGAAATGTGGGCAGCAAACGATGTTATGCAACAAAGAAAACATACATTTGTGCATAACCATGCATAAAAGTCACGGATGTGCCTGAGCAGTAAGAAGATGTAGTGTGAAGTACCAGTGATGGGTTGAGCATGTACTTTATGCCAAGTCTCTTCACTGAATGATCCCAGGAACCCTATCACCTAAGCATTAGACCCGAATTACAGGTGAGGAATCTGGGGCTCGCAGTAGGTTGAGAATTTGCCAAGTTCACCCAGCAGGTAACAAACTCAGGTCTGACTCTAGAGCTGTTACGTAATTTCTCCAGGCACACAGTACCTAGAACCTAGTTTCTGCAATGTTTCACCTTCCAAAGTGTTGCTTAAGCTCATAATTTCTAAACACATATTTTGCTTCCCTGAAATGTACAGCAATACACGCTGGTGGCAAAGGCCAGACAAAAGGCGCCGGAAGGCAGTGGGACTTGGTGAGGCTGAGACATGTTCCCGGCTAACAGGGTAGAGTCTGACCCGGTGACAGCAGGTCCTCCTCTGAGAACTGTCGCATAGGGCTAATGGATGTTTCTGCCACGTGGAAGCTGCCGGTCCCTGCATGCTGGGGGTTCTCTCCTGCCCCCCTAGCAGCCCCCACCACCAAGGGAAGGCTGGATCTATTGCTTGGCCTTTTCTGCAGGCTGCCAACTGAGCAAGAAGCACACCTCTCCATGGAGAGGAAAATGTCACCAACTTGGCTTCCCAGAGCATGTCGTCACTGCCTGATTGGGCAGCTGAGCCCAGCACTGCAGGAGGCAGGAGGCAGGAGGCAGGAGGGAGGCAGGAGCCAGCTCTTGGCAGAAGGGAAGCTCTCATACATTCTTGGGGTGTATGCATTTGCTATCATCCAATACTCAGGTATGAGAAATGTCACTTTTCTTCTGTTTCTCCAAATAAAATATGATCTTCTCCAAGCTCCCAGTTCTCTGGGCTGGCAAGAAAGTCCAGCCCAGTCACAACTGGGGCCCCTTCCCAGCTCTCATGAAGGTCCTGGGTTGGGGTCTTCAGAGGTGCAGCACATCTGGGGAGCGTGCCCTGTCTGGGTGCTCACTGCTATGCTGCTGTCCCTCTGAGCTCCCATGGTCCCTCGGAGTGGGAAGGGGCCCAGCCACTTCTGTGCCAGGCCTGGGTTTGGGATCTGTGCCAAGCTGGGGCTCTGCCTCTCCAGGGGTACAGTACCCAGCCCCCTGGATCCCTGAGCTGCTACCCGTGACCTGGTCTGGAGATTCCCGCTTCTCCACTAGAGCTGCCTCCCGATACCCCTCCCAATGCTCACCCCCAGCCTCTCTACCTCTAGGACAGGGGCCCCCATAAGCCCATAAGGTGGGTTTCTCCTCGCAGGGGTAAAGAGAGAGCAAGGAGGTGCTGAAGCCAGCTGGTGTTTTCCTTGCTAATTCCCACTATCAGGTATAAATAAATGGTGCACGGGGGAAAATAAGTGTGGCCCTTCAAGAGGTGAGATTTTCCTGCTGAGTTTTCTACATGCTTATAGGGTTCGATGACAGCTTGCCCTCCAAGCACACAGTGTGCTCCAGCCCCTCCCAGGGGGACGATGGTGTCGGGGATAGAGAGAGAACAGAAGAGCCGGGGCTACCATTTCCTGAGCAATTGTGTGTGCCTGGCAACAAAGCATGCAGGGGGTGGGAGTTAGGATCTCCACTATACCGCTGAGGAAACCGAGGCTCAGAGATGTGGAAGACTGCCTGAGGTCCCACAGCTGGATAGCGACAACTGGGATTTGGGAGGCTCCCTTCTTCCAGACCTCAGGAGAGCTGATAATGCCCCTCCCCTGCCCGGTGCCACGCCGGTGCCCACGCTCTCCAAGGCGCTGTTTCATGTGCTGGAGTGTGGCTGATGATTAGCAAACGAGTGGGCAGAGGAGTGAAAGGGAAAGACCTGGGCCAAGGCTTTGCTGGCGATGGGTGTGCAGCCGTATGTGCTCATCAGCTCCATGACATTGGTTCTTGGAGCAAAGACTGGGACTGGGGAGTCCAGCTCTGCCCTTCTCAATATTTCTCAGGAGGGAAGGGTGGCTGCTCTTCACGGGAGAGAGGTTTCCAGCTCCAGGCAGAGAGCCCAGGCCCAGTGGCCTCCCCAACAATACTCCTTGGGCTTCCCTACAGCTTCCCTCCTGCTCTGTGGCCACCCTGCCCCACACATTCAACAAAAGTGGGGGGAAGGGGGCCTCTGCCCCAGTCTCGGTCAGCTTGGCAGTTATAACAAAAAATCCCTAGACTGGGTGGCTTAAACAACAGACACTCATTTCATAGTTCCCGAGGCTGGAACTCCCAGATGTGGTGCCAGCATGGTCAGGGTCTTGGTGAAGGCCCTTTACATGTGCCCTCCTCTTGCTGTGTCCTCACATGGTGAAGAGAGAGCTCTGATCTCTTCCTCTTCTTATTAGGGCACTAATCCCATCATGGGTACCCACCCTCATGGCCTCAACTCAACCTAATCCCCTTCCCAAAGGCCTCACCTCCAAATACCATCACCTTGGAGTTAGGGCTTCGACATAGGGATTTTGGGAGTGCATAGGCCCTGACCAGGACTGTGACCCTTCTTTTGCTTCTGTATGTTAGGAGCCCTAGAAATGGGATCATCATCATCTATCTCAACCCTGGATCACTTAGAGCCCCCAGTCCTCCTGGGGGCTCACCTCATGCTATCCTGCACTGTCACCTATTTTACTTTCCAGAAACACTGCTCTGAGCCTACTCAGAAGCACTGTAGCTTGGTGTTCTGGGCACAGGCTTTGGAGAGAGGCAGGCCTGGGTGGACCCTTGGGCGTGCTATGCAAAAGCTTCTCTAAGCCTCAGATGTTCTCATCTATAAAATGGGATAATATTCATCCCCTAGGGTTGTCTTGAGGGTTAACTGAGATACACATGAAGAGTGACCAGCACATAGTAAGCATTCAATAAATGACAGTCATTATTATCAGTGACACCCCTCCTGCCCTGTTCTAACCCTGCATGATTCTCCTCCATCTCATATGGTGGCCACCAGCCACATGTGGCTATTTAAATAAAAATTAATTAAAATTAAATAAAAGGAAAAACTCAGTTCCCTGGTCACACTAATAATTTTAAGTGCTCAATAGCCACATGTAGTTGGTGGCTATCATATCAAATGGCACAGAAATAGAACGTTTCCATCAGCACAGGAAGTTCTGCTGAATGTCACTGGGCCCGAGGACCCAGACCTCAGTCTTGGTGACTCCACACTCACCATCACCCTCAATGCCTGTTCCCGCTGCTGCCCCACAAGGCCTCACTTCCCATCAGACTAATGTGCTCCAGTGCTTGCCACCGTCAGGCTGTGTTTTGTTTCCACCCCACCCCACTCCACCCTACTCCACCCATCCCCATCTGACTCCTGCCCACCTTCCAATTTACTGATTCCTATAACCGTCACCTGCCGTGTGCCCATGTGGAGCTTGGCACTGGGTGGGGAAGGCAGGGCCCAGGCTTCATGTGGTCCCAGTGAAGCACCCGACGCTGGGTTCCGATCCAGCCTGCCGAGGCTGAGGGGCTGCCTGGCTGTACTGCAGGAGTAATATTTAAGCAGGGTTCGAAGGATAGGCATGCACATGCCCTTAATAAATGTCATCTGATTGACTAAACATCTATGCTATTGGGGAACAAGAGAGAAACTAGGAGAGAGTGCCTAAGAGCTGGGTCCTGTTTTCTACCCAGACCACAGCACACAGAACCACCTGACCTGGGGACAGAAATGGTGTGCGCCAGTTGCCCCCCAGAGACTGAGCCAAAGGCTGATCGTCAGCTCCCATGCTGGGGGTGGTACGCATGGGTGGCATGTCCCAAATGTTCCCTCGTCCCTTTGCCCTGTGGGATGCTTGGGGGGGTCCTTCTCGCCCATGCACAGCCCCGTTTCAGGCTGTCAGCCATCACTGGTGGAACCCACAGTCAGATCCTGCGATCTCTCGGTTGTGCAGTCTCTGGCTGGGGAATCCAGGCCAGCAAAAAGATAACATGCTCCAGTTCAAGTAATACATAATTGCTACTCTACTACATCTCGAATCAGTAAGAGAATAATGAGCCTTTCCCCCTAAGGGCTTGGTTTTTATTCCCAGGTTCCAAAAAAGAAAATTAAACAGGTAGTATTTGAAAAAGCCAGTGAGAGAGGTGTGAGCCAGCTGCCACATTAAGTGGGTACAAAGGGAACACTGCAAAGCCGAGTTAAGGACAGCCCTGGGGCCTGGGGGCAATCACTTGCTTCCTTGCCTGAGATGGGCTTCCATTGAGCGGAATTGCCCTGGGCAAGTGAGCACTGGTTTCCCTGGTGTGGCTGCCTGGTGCTTCCCAGCGTCTGGAACTGTGTCTGAGTGTTAAACAAACCAAGTCTAGCTTGTGGTCCTCACTCAGAGCAGAAGTGACAAAAGTCCAGGCCTTCAGTTGGCACATGCAATCTCTTCAATCCTGTCTCAGGCACTCCATGAATTCCTTTTACAAACATATCCCAGCATAGAGTACACACAGGGAAGGGGACGGCTCAGGGCATAGCCCACAAGACACAGGCTTTGGGGCAGGACAGCACAGAGTCTGCCACGTAG